TGGATTAACCACAGCACACGCTGTCTCTTGCCCAAACAGATGTCATGGAAGGCATGGAGAGAAGTGTGCTTGGATTATTATGCTGGGAGGGTGAAACTACAGAGCAGTGAACAGAAATGATCAGGACACCAAGCTTGCATAGTTTCATTCTTTCTGAAAGAGCCTATTTGTGTATGATTGTTTATTTCTATGTGGCATTGTCTTTCCATATGTGCTCTGAAAGTATGAGTAAACAGTGGCCCCAGTTCTTCCATGGCCATCACTGGTTTTATTCTGCATTGATCTCAGAGGTATTACACTGGCTTTAAACTAAAAAATGAAACAGACAGTGAATTCAAAGAAGTTGTTCCAATCCTAGGGTCTCCGAACGAGCATGTTACTGTTTAGCAGGAAATAAGCATCTATGAACCTCCAACATTGTCTGTCTATAAGACTTCAAAGGTGTTATGTTCAAACGTGAGAAGGAAGAGAGAGTTTTAACACTCTGCAGCTTTATAGACAGCTCCTACAAAGCATGTAGAATAAATAGTTGAACTGACATGTCACACTCCCACGATCAGCTCATCACTGTATTGGTGCACCCCCAAAATCATCCTGAGAGCAACCTATTTGGGACACTGCTGGTGAAAACTCAGGCCTGTGCACCCTTTCAGCATCCTCTTCAGGCAGTCTAGATACTCCTTCTGCAGATGTACACAGCCTGGAACATCCCCAGCCAGCATATTTCCACCATGAAGTACTTAAGAGTATATTCTTCCATGCTCTCATACCATGCCTCCTTCCCTTTCTACACCCTTGCATCTTGTCCCCCTCCGAGCACTTTTGTAGTACTGCCAGTGCAGTAGCCCTCTCATTTTGCAGGCTGACTGTATGCCAAACAAGCAAGCTGTGTCTTGGCAGGATGAATTTTCCTCCCACATTCCAGAGGACTCACAATGGGCACTCCCTGCCGAAGGGCTATATTCACAGCTGTGAAGGCAAGCCAGACCATCTTAAAGACTGACTGAGACCCAGCATTGGGGTTGTCAGATGACGCATATCTGCCTCACAGTAGCCCATTTGCTCTGTGGTGAATAAAAGCACGGAGCTAGGGCCAAATACTTCTTAGAGCCACAAAAAATGAAACCACAGAGATATCAATGGCATGAGAATAAGGTTAATTACATATACATACAACAATCTGGTCATATCAGAAATTAAACTAGAGGGCATAGTTACGGCCTTAGCAATTGCCAATATTCACATCCAAGCCATGGCACTATGTGTAAGAAATGCTCCCTTAAATAAAGGATAGTTACAAACTCAATCCATTTTAGTATATGTCTAAAATGATTGTTAGAGGGACACTTTTCAGTAATGCATTTAGACACAAAGAAACAGTTTGTCGTCATCTCGCCTGCACTGAAAGCAGCACAATGTTCTACAATTTCTAATTTGCAATTAGTCAAGACACTCATAACAACCCAACAGTGTTAGGAGCTACCCCTACATATTCTTTTTTTTTTCTCCTTTTTACATCCAGAATGTCTTTTTCCTGTTTATTAAACCTGTTACTGTATCTTGTGCCCAATTACAAATTCAATTGCAAAAGGGCAGGGATTTTTTTTTATGCACAGTGCCACTCACAAAGGAATCTGGATCTGATCAGGCCTTTTAGACACTGTAATTGAATTTCCTAAATATATTTTAATGATAGTAATTTTGCAAAATGTTACACAATATTACAATACATTATCAGGTACTGACTATAACAGCATCATCTCGTGGTAGTGCTTGTTCACAATCACACTGCCAAGCTTCACCGATTTTGGAAACACATGTAACAACTTTAATTTCCCCTGAGATACATGGTTAAATCTCAAAATCAGGTGTTGTCTAAGGCTAGATATGTTCCAGTAAACTAAGGCATGGGCATTGACGTTGCCACACTTTAATAACCATTAAACCGCTAGCAAAGCTGCTACCTGAGTTTTGACTCATGCCAACTAGCATTCTCGCAGATAGTGCCCAAGCATACTTCAGGGATTAGGGTGGGCCAGGGAAGACTTACAACAGCAATTTTGATGCAGCCACCTGCTCTTCAGGGCTAGGAAGGTTTATCTGTATGAAAATACACACGTTGTACAATTTGGTGTCAGGGCTGGAGAGCGCTCTGGGCCTGTTACTAGTATAACACAGCCTAAATGTCTCTGTTACGGTTCCAGTTTATAGTCTCCCCCAGTTTTGTCCCCTGAGTAGAAGTTAAAGAGATACCAGCTAGGCATCAGAAAGTATTTTGCATAATATTTAGAAGCACATTTTGTTTTGTTTTAACTGTAGTTCATAAGTTCCTTCTCTGTAGTCCCAAAGATTGTCAAATTCTTTATTGTGTAAGAGGTTTGGATTTGTAATGGTAAACATGACATTCACAGTCATTTCATTAAGTATTGTATCTTGATTATATATCAAATTTGTAACTAAGGCAATTTAATGTTTTGATTAAACATTACTGTGAAGCATTTTGTACCTATATGTATTGATATATAAACAAAAAATATATTAGCTGGTTGTGTAACCCTCTTTCACAGGGTAACTTAACATCCAACATGATTTGAAACTCTGCTTGCCTCTGCCTGCAACAGGTGCCAAATAACTTTTCTCCCTTAACTTCCCTCCGAAACAGTGTGGATACCATAAGGGTGGTTTCCTCTCCACACTGTAATTAGAGGGCTAGGTTAGCCTTTTTGATTATGTCCCGATATGGGCCAATTTTGCCAGGGAGGCTTTTACTAGGCTAGTAGAATTTCTTTTGGTGCAAAATTTCTATGCTAGTAAAAATTTCAGTATAGCTAATGTTAGAGTGGTGAAAAACTTCTTTGCTAGGATAGTTTATTTCACTCAGAGATCTTTGTAACAAACTGTTACAGCATGTGTGCTTTTTTGCTGCGATAAACTACATCTGCACTATAGCAGTAAAATTACCTAGTATATAGCAAGACTAAGCCTAAAGGGATTTTGGACTCTGACTTGATATTCTAAGATGGAGTGAGAGATGGTACAACATTTTTTATTTTCTTATCTAGGAGGATTTTCAATCAAGTTAAAACAGCTCAGTTATAAAGCTATAAAAATTTTAACTATCAGAATTTTTACTTTTTCCTACTTTAGATTGTGCTTCAGTTACTGCCCAAGACAGCGAGTATCTTGCTCTGACACAGCCTACGTCAACCGACTAAATTAAACTTTGTGAAAAAGACTAATTCTACACTTTAGAGAGCAAAACAAAATACTGATAAACTTCAGTTGCATAGAAGGTTAAACCTTTCATCAAGAGAAGTTTTATTAATAAGTTAGTTGAGCTGTCCTGCCCACGATTAATGCACACACTATCTCCAAGGGAAAAACACCACTGCAGATACAATTCATGAAGTACTAACTGTGCGATTCTAATTAAGATATACGTTGTTGCATTAAGCAGATTAAGCTATGTTAAGGAACTTATCCTTCCAAGTCATTAATGAAATGGTATACCCCAAAAACTTCTTCAATAAAAAAGGATTCTGTTTCAGTTGTTAAATTTCACTGTGAGAAAAAAAAAATGCACTGACCCCCAAATAACCCCACTTTGCTATTCCTCAGTATCTATGCCTCTCTGCAGTACAAAGGAGCTCCCAAATCTTTTTCATTTCCATATATAGTGGACAATATATAGGGCCAGTCTGAGTAGTAAAAATGCCAGGAATGCATGCCACTGAAGAAAATAAAATTATTAAAACTCCCTTTCTTAGGACTATGTGCCAAGCAAAAAACTCTTACCTCATGCACAGATGGCTGGAACCTTCCCATCTGTTAGTAACTTCTGGCCTCCAACTCCTGCAAGATCCTAACGTTAGTCCTCTAAGCATGTTAGCACGTCTGGGGTGTATTAAGAGTCAGAGAGCTCTCTCTTCTGGGTTTACACAACTATTTGAGCACAGATGTCCCATTGGGACTTTTCCTCAGTTTAAATGCGTTTGTGTGCATAAGACATTGAAAGATCAAAACCTACCAAAGCGGCAGGACTAGACTGAGATCTTAGTTGGCTCATGGGAATACTGAAACAGGAAACTAATTTAAAATTCTGGTTCTGTTGAAGAGCACCTCTGAAGTTGAATTTTCTCATGTTGTGCACACTGGCGTGGCAGAGTAGGTAATAGGTGTGATATAGAGTTCAAGTAATTTCTGACACTGCTAGAACAACCATATAATTCTTCACCAGTTGTTATACCAGGAGAGATGTTTCCCTTTCAAACTGAAAACTGCATGCTGCACAGACACCAGTTGTCTTTACTTACAGCCTCCAAATGTTGACATCTATATTTGTAGTACAGACAAAATGCATTTACTAAAGCAGAGCCTCCTGAACTGTGTTTTTTGCAGCACTGGTGACAAACTACTTCCAAATGACATGTGGAGGCAGGTCTGCCTACCAGGAGATACTCAGCTGAAGTGTAGGATGAGCAACCCAAATCCGCTACTGTTGTCAATCAGTTACTACCAGCCTGGAGACACTTACCTAGTGGCTCACACAAATTTCTATATATAGGCACTAATTATTACTAACTGTTAATGGGCATTGATCAGAGCTATGGAGAGCAGCTGTATCATCCAACTCATTTAGTAGGTCTTAGATTCCATAAAGTAACACTAGAAATAACTTAAATCAATATAGATTTGTGTTTAATAACGTATGAGTAAGTCATTGCTACTATGAGGCCAGCTTAGCACTAGACATACTGATAGATGAAATGATCAGGAAATGTCAGATGCGAAGAGCCAGAAGTAAGAAATAAATTAGGATTTTCCACTGGCAAAGGTCAGCAAATCTGCCTGACCATAAGCAACCAATACATACCTGTCTTCCTCATACAGAACAAAATAACTTGGTAGCATTATCCTTCCTCTACCTTACTGAGACTAAAAGAATGGTAGATTAATGATAAGAAGAGTAAGGCTCATGTTTCTAGCCTCCCAAGACCTACCTTGAGAACTTGGCCTCTGAACATAGGTAAGATTTCTTTGCTAATGATCTGAACATCCATTCCCGAGCTTCAAGATAAAACGTACATAAATGTGTTATCAGAGCTCCAGATAGCCTTAGATTTTGCTGCTATATATGTGGGGGTTTTTTTTCATATCACAGCTGCATAGCTATGTCCATTACCTTCCATTGTATTTTGTGCTTAAGGAGGTAAGGAAAGATTAAAAAAACCCAAACATTTATTTATGAGAACCTAATTTCTCTGGATTGGGTGCCTCAAAATCCCTCACTTCCCAGCCCATCGGCTGGAGTCGCGTGTGAACTACTCACAGGCGTAAACAGGGGGTGAGGCGATGGTCGTAATCCAGCACGTGGAGGAACCTGGGCATGAGTTTGAACTTCCTAACGTAGAGGAAATGACGATGGGGAATGCAGGGGTCTGCGAGGTGGGCTGCTCTGCGAGGTGGGCTGCTCTGCGGGAGGGCGGCGGGCCGCCACCCGTGGCTTCGCTCGTGCGCCGCACCTCCCGTGAGTGCCGGTACCTCCCCGGTGACGGCAGCACCGCTTCAGGTTCCTGAGAAAACTGAGCCTAGGAAACTTTTCACCGCAGCACCAGGTGGTCAGAGCCTGCTCGTACTCCCAAATGGGACCGCGGGCAGCGTTTACCAACCATCGGAGCCGGACAGGAGTAGAACCAAGTGCTTCCCTTTCCCCGGGGCCGACTGGCAGTCCGGCCTCCAGCGACAGCGACGCGCTGGCAGCCCTCACGTCT